CTAAGATGAAGGATAAAGGATTATTGTTAAAAGGGATTGTCATGCCCTAAGCTCTTTTAGGCTTAGAGCATTTCATATATTTCCCTGCACAGAATTTCAGAGCTGTGCTGGTCTTTACAGACTGCAAAAGAGGAGCTGGGCCAGCTGCCCTTGCCAGATATTGTTCCCACTGTATATAATGCACTTAGCTGTGTTCTCTGCACCCATTTTAATATTTGTTCATAGTAGTTACCCATGTCCCTGCTATGGAGATTTCATAATGTGAATTATGAATGCCATGCCACAGTAAAATGTATTGTGACTTAAGTATGTCTTGTGTAATTATTTCAAGGGACCCTAATATCTGAATACCATGGATAGACGTATACCTTCCAAAAAAAAAAAAAAAAAAAGCAACACTTGATTACAGGAAGGAAAGAACAATTATAAAATATAAGAATAAATGCAAAGCATTGGGAGAAATTCTGAATGACGTCAAAAGTTGTCATCGTGTGTAGATAGCAAAAGTATGAGGGGAATGTACATGAACTACAGAATGAGATCAGTAACAAGGGAAATGTTCAAAGGAAGGTCAAATTAGAATTTTTATCACTTTGTTTTCTTCCACTGCATGTTTTAACTTAGAAACATAACATAGATGATAGTCCACAGGGAGAGTGGTATGTTTGTGTGTTTTTAATCCAAAAGCAGAACACTAATATTTTAAGCATTCATAGTTTATTTTGAAGCTTAAAAAAAAATGTAAGCAAATTTGTACAAAGCTTTTGCCAAACCTGTCAGCTTCTCAGTCCCCTAAAGGATATTAATATATTATGGAATTTATAGGCTGTAGTGTTTCATTTCAAAGGAAGAGTTACTTCTAAAATGAATAAAATTTCAGACAAGGAATATTTCTATTTTAGTTTTATGTTATTCCTGGGCTTTAATTATTGGCAAGATTTAAGAGCAGGTACAGATCATTTTAGCAATGTATTAAAATCTTCTTAACATATTGTACATTGAACTTTTAAATACAGAATATCAATAACATATGTAAATAAATCCTGGGAAAAAAAGCAGTCATAGAAAGCAAGGAGACAGCACTTTGAAATTAAATGCTATCTTTTGAAGACATACCACATTAAATTTTCTTCAATCCTTTCCTCCTAACAATATAGTTAGTCACCATCTTTGCTTGGAGTGTAACAAATAAAATGCATTTACATAAGGTCTTGAATATTTCATTATGCATGCCTTGTAAAAATCAGTTAACTTAGCTACCTTGGTAGCTATAGTTTACCCCAAAATAGCAGATTGCATTGATGAATTTTGTGATTCTTGCAGTTCTCCCTGTGTCTAAATATGGATCTGCATTTTATAAAGTACTAAAAATCCAGAAACAGTACAGGTCACTTGGTGTATCGGATAGGAGTATATTATCTTCAAAACTATTGATTTTCTGTGCTTTATTTATGTTTTAAAGTATTTTTGAAACAAAGTGGTAGGGGAGCCTTCATTTCTTAGGTTTCTAAAATATATTTCTATACTTCATTTTTTAACTTTGAGGCTCTACTTGATGGTGCCTTATTGTCCTTTCTTCATTATAATTATTTTAATACACAGTGTGAGGCTAAGAAAAACCTAAATACTGGAATTCCCCTCTCTGTGACAGAAGGAGCTCTGGTAGCACAGTGCCTAAAGCACTTGACTGCTAACCGTAAGGCTGGTGGTTCAAAACCACCAGCCACTCCTTGGAAGGAAGGTTGGATAATCTACTTCGGTAGTGATTCTCTGACTTGGCAGCAGTGGATTTAGATGTGTGATAGAAGGGGGAGAAAGCATGAGGGTTTGGCCCTTAAGAGTAGATTGCTTCTTTCTTTATTCTCCCAACTCCTGGTAGGCTTTGATAAGCTTCATGAGAAGTCTGTGACTGAAATAGACTCAGAGTGATCTTTTACCCAATTCTATCTGCCAATTGAAAAGACCAATCAGCTGAGTCACAGGAATGGCTGTTTTTTTTTTTTTTTTCCCCAAAAGCTGACCTCTTTGTTTATTATCATTTCTGAAGAAGTAAAATCAATTTAGAGTCTGCCCTTGAGGTGAATGCACTAAATTTCAATTATAAAAATTATTACCACTTGCTTATACTTTTCAAATTTGCATTTGATATGCTCTTCATTTTTAAAATGGAGAATGTTCTCTGCATTCTGTGCACAGGCACTTGTATGTGTGCAAAACCTATACCATTTAATGTAGCAATGACACACAACTGGACACCAACTAGGGAAAGAATATGGAATCAAAACAGTGCTTAGTGTACATCCAGATTCAACAGCCTTTAATGTAATTATTAAGCAAACCTGTTGCCATCAAGTCGATTCTAGCTCTTGGAAAGCCCATGTGTGTCAGAGTAGAACTGTATCCCATTGACTGCTTTTCAGAGCCTGCCTCTATCCTGAGACATTTCTGGGTGGACTCTAACTGCCAACCTTTTAGTTAGTTAATGACTGTGTTATTGTTGACACTACCTATGGACTCCATACCTGTTAATTTTTCTTTCTATATGGATACCTAAAGACCATCAAAAGCAGCTAAAGTAGAAGTGTTTGTGCTTTGCAGGAAATGACTAATTGTTAAATCATTGCAATCACAGAAAGCATGCTAAAATCATAGGAAAAAATTTTAAGGTGCTCTCAAAAAGATATATATACAGTTTTGGCCACTCCATTCAAAAGAGCACTCTGAAGCATTTTGAAATAGACACTGGCATGGGATGGATGGAAAGAATTAATTACATGTGAGATTTGAAGAAACACTCATGGCTTTCCTCCTTGACTTCAGTAGGTAAGTTTGCAGTGTTTTCTTCAAATCAACATTTTAAATCAATCCTGTTTTCCATTAGTATGTCATACTTTCTAAAGTATGAAAAAAGCCAAGTACACAAGTTACCATAATACAAGCATGTGTAAGAATGAAGCCAAGCCATTAAAAGTAGCAAATGCTACAGGCAAAAACCTAGTTTACATGGTGTCAACAATCTGACAGTATAATGAGCCGCAGTCAGCCTCACCTAATAAAAATAATGGCAATGGCCACAACATAGTATCATTTTTAAGTGCTTATTGTATTATATGTACTACTCAATATTTTCTATGTGTATGTTGTTTAATCTTTAAACCAACCCTATGAGGTAGTTTCCCTGATTGTCCACATTGTAGAGATAATGTAGGTGAAACCCAGACAAATAATCTATTATGGCCTCATTTAATTTTTAATGGAGAAGTGGATCTATTTTTCTTTCCTCCTCCCTCCCTTCCACCAATCACTTATTAAAGGCCTACCTACCTCATACAGAAGTGATCAAGACTGATACAGCCTCTCCCCTCTTGGAGGCACAAAGTAAATTCTTTAACCTTTTTTTTTTTTTTTTTTAACAATAATAATCTTTTTGTACTTGAAATTAGCAAGTTATTTTTAGAATTCAATACTGGAAGAACTCACAACACGAAATAAGAGGAAACAGCCAGTATGCAGAGCTCGGTGTTATTTGAGGAGGTATTGATCAGAAATACAGAGTGCAGACTCTTCATCCAGAGGGCTGTTTGAACCCCAGTTCTCTTAAAAATGTTGCAATCTTAGCACCTTTATTAATTTCCTTAAACTTCTGTTTCCTCTTCTATATTATGATAGTAACATTAATACATGCTTACCTCTTAGCATTGTTGATTTGATATATATTATGATAGTAACATTAATACATGCTTACCTCTTAGCATTGTTGATTTGATATATTTAGAAACATTTCTGATACTTTGGTAAATGAATTTTTACATAATGAGTTACTCTGTACCCTAATGGATTTCTCTTACCTAAGAGAAACCTGTGGGCTTTTGAATTTTAATAGATTTGGAGAATTACTGAACACCAAGCATGGGCAGGAATAATTGGGTAGCCATGTTTCTGTGTTTGTTTTATCTGAGATTCTGTTAACTCATATGGTCCACACTTTTCAGTCACCAGTCATGTTTGTTTTTTAATTAGCTGAGATTTAATAGATCAGTAAACATTTTTAAAACATAGAGGCAAATAATGAAAATAAAGACTTAAGTTGATCTTGAAAGGATTGCAAACAACCGTTGTAGAACATCTATAAGTCTCAAAGAATTATCTAATAATTCAGATACCAATCATAACATGCCCTAAGGTGCAGTTACCTCCTGCACATAACTTAGGAAAATTTCCTCAAAATGCCTCAGTAATCATCACAGATTATAGAATTTTAGAGCAAGAGAAGACAAGAGAGTTGTTTTAGTTGGTTGATTAACTTTGGATTACTTCAGACATTTAATTCCTCCCTATCTATCTCACATTTTATTACAGACAATGGAAATTATCTCTGTAAAAATTAAAATTATATTGGTCTGTGGTATATTTTCATATGCTTTTTAATACGCTGTGGGCTGCCTTTAGGTTGTGATAAAACTATTTGAGGGTCATTTAGCATCCGTTACATCTTTAAACAGCAGCTTGATTTAAAACAGATTTTGAAAAGTACCTTTGAACTTACACACTTTCTGAAAATGCCTGTGTCACTCACCAAACTCTGTCCCATCATGTTCAATTTAAAACTTCCTGAAGAAAATGAGAGAGGAACCTTTCAAAAGTACTCAATTTTTCTGTAGGTAACTAACTTTGGTGGTTTTATAAGAAGATCAAAATTAAAGGTATTACATGTTAAATTTTCCACAGGACCAGACCTTCAGAATAAAAGCTATTAATTTTTTTTATTGAGCTAGAAATTAAAGTAATTAAAGTAATTACAGTAATTACAAATGTACTTTTAATCATTCGTGGTATGGATTTTTCATATGATGAACATTTCATTTCATATGATGAACACCTAGCTTTTTAAATAAGTTGTACAGGAAGTAAAAAAGATACATTATATCTCACCAAATGAAAAGAAAACAAATTTGAAGGGGGCATACATGAGTATCCTGACAGGCATGCTGTTCTTTCAGCTTCCACAGATGACAGTGCAGCTGAGAAGAAAGGGGGAACCCTTCATGCTGGCCTCATCGTTGGAATTCTCATCCTGGTCCTCATTATAGCAGCAGCTATTCTTGTGACAGTCTATATGTATCACCATCCAACTTCAGCAGCCAGCATCTTCTTTATTGAGGTAAGTGTCAATGATAGCCAACAAAAACTATGCTGATTGATGAACTCTATCCCTTTGCTAGCACCACCAGTAGTTAATAGTTAATATTTAGCACATGGTTTCTCCATTTTGTAGTTTGTAGTTGAGAGCTCGCTGACTCCACACACAGTACTGATAGGTAAGTGAATCTCAGGAGCTTTTCAAAAAAAAAAAAAAAACCATTATGCCTTTTATACATCTAAGTAAAATAGGACTTAGCTTAAATCAACTGATCACTAAATACTAATTGAGCATTGGCTATATGCATGATACAATATGGTAGATAAAGAAAAAGAGTCCACATGGGCTTAATGTGTAAAACACTTCCCAAACTACTCTGTATGTATATTTATAGATAAATGCACACACATGGAGAAAGGACTATTAGTTTTGTGTTTTTATGCCCAGATAAAAGAAGGTGGGAAAGGCAAGGAGCTTGAGGCAAACAAGAAGTGTGGAGGCCACAAAATATGGTTGGTGTGACCAGGTCCCCTTCTCACCTTCTCATGTTGACATCCTAATGGGGCCACTTCTAAGACCCAGTAAATGCTAGAGAAATAAAAAGGAATTCTTGTCTTACAGAGTTCTAAACCTGAAAAGTTTAACTCATTTGGGATGTAGAGAATAGTTCCTTGGAATTTTTTTTATTCAGTTGAGAGAGATTTTACTTTACTTTTTGTCCCTGTGAATAGGGAGGAGTAAATGCAATGCATTTATACATTTCCTATACTATCTGTCAAATCAAGTGCAGTCTCTAGGCATAGGAAATAGGGAGTTCATCTGTCATTCTAACCCTTACCCAATGGTCTCCTACCTGGAGGTGATATTACCCATCACATTGCACTCTTTAAGTCTATCAATCACCAAGCCTTTCTTCTTTCTTCCATGGCACCTGTGGGTGGGTGAAACATTTACACCATTCATAAATCCCATGCTCTTCTCCCTACCATGGAGATTGCTGCTCCTTTTGTTTACTCCACCCCGAATGCCTCCCCTCATTTCTTGGGTTTAAGATTCATTCCAACAGGTTTTAATATCATGTACTGCACAAGCTTCCATGGACCATCTTCCTTTAATTTACCCTACCTACCCTGCAAGACTTGCAACTTCCTTAATTTTTTCAAATACTAGACATTCTATAACTATTTTCTGGAAACAAAAAGGATAATAAAAATAGCATCTTCACCTCATGGTAACTGGAAAAGTATCAGGTGTTGCATGCATTGAGTTGGGAAGCTGTTGATAATGCACTCATTTTTCATTAAAAAGTATAAAACTTTCCTGAGGTCATGAATGTATTCCTCAAAGAGCAGACAGGTGACAAGCAGAAAAGCTTCAGTGATCAGCTACCACTGTCACATCTTCCCATTGAAATCAATTCCAACTCATACTGATGTTGTAGGGTTTCCAAGGTTAATCTTTACTGAAGCAGATTGACACATCTTTCTCCTATGGGAAAGCTGGGGGTTTGAACCACCAGCTGAGCATGTGTCACCAGGACTCCTCTTAATTTAATCATATCAGCATAGTACTTTTTGTGTCATAAAATAACATTTACAGATTTGGGGGATTAAAATGTAGACAACCATTAGTCTGTATATCACTGACTGCATTCAGTGTAAGAGGCACTGCACAGGAAGAATAAAACTGAGATGCACCCTTATGTATAAACACGTTCTGATTTAAGAGATTTCAAAACTTGACATGATGAGTATCTTGTTATTTCATAATGAAGAAACATGATTACATTGAACATAAGTATAAATTAATTAGTTCCTGTGGGTATCCTGATCAGTTACATTTTTTTTGCCTGCAGAGGATACAGTGCAATTTGTGTGATCATTCCCCTACTGGGGAGCACTGGGACTCTTTCCTTTTTGTTATAATTAGCTAGCATCTTTATGAGCATATGTAATCATACGTAATAGGGGGCATTTATTAAATGGACTAGTGAAAATTATTTACCCTCATTTAATCATCAAAAGACCCTATAAGGTGCAAAATGATATCTCTCTCATAGATGTAGAAGCTCAGGCTTCCAGACTCCAGTGACCATACTGTTAACAAGTAGATTTGTTGCCTCTCTCTCTAGGTCTAAAGATAACCCCCAACACACACTGCATGTAGAAATGTATGTTCACAGACATTCTCAAAAGCAAAGAAACAGTGTAAATGCACTCGCATAAGTACTATTTCTCAAATATTTACACTAATTTATATAGCATAGCTATTGTTATTATCTGTTTCTCATGTTAAAAATACAGTGACTATCATTTGTGTGACTTAAGAGCAGATGAGAGCTGGAAGGCAATAAGGATGAAGCAAACTATCACTCTATATACAATAATTAAATAATAATTGGTCTGTGTACTAGTATCTTTGTGTACAGCACATAGTACAAGGGTTACTTTCTCCTGAGACATCCAATCTCTAAAAAAATAGTAATGCTGGCAGAACAGTCTGTTTTTCATTACCTTACCTTCTGTTTTCCTGTCATTCTCTTTAGTTCTTAGACTCAGCATTATTTTTGACTATAGTAAAGACTCCTTTTCCAGTTGATCGCTTGCATTTTGTATTCACCTGGCTGGTAATTTTCTAAGGGAGATCTGATTTTGCTTAACCCATCATACTACACAGAACTGGCTAGTCTAAACATGCTTTAAAGTCTGTTTAAATTCATTATCTTGAAATGGGTAGCAGCCAAGAAATGCTCAAATGAGCATGTGTTCCTTCATTTTTATAAAAGTAACAAATCTTTGGAAGAATTCATTTTGACTTAGTTGCTGAAAATTTGTGATTTATAAATTTCATTGCTGCATGAATATGGGTTATAGAGGAAAATGTTGCACTGTTACAGGTTATTCTGCATCACTATTTTATATATATACATATATGTACACACCCATACATAAAGTGTACTTTAATTTAAGGTCAAGAAGAGAATATTTCAAAGGAGGTGGTGGCAACAGATAAGTACTCCACTACGTGCCAAAAAAATTGGTAGTTCAAATCTATCCAGACACACCACGGCCATCAGCCTGAGAACCCTGTGGAGTATGATTCTACTCTGACACACATGAGGTCATCATAAGTCAGAATCAACTGGAAGGCAACAGTAAATCATATGAAATTAATACTCCCATTAAAGGATTCTAGATTCTATTTGGACTATACACAAAATGATTTAGACTAGCAATCTTAATAGAAGAGTGAACAGTGAACATTTAAACAGTGTTTTACATGAGTACCATTTAGACATTTATGTGCTGGTTTGATTCTGAAGAGAGTGTAGTGGTAAAGAAAAATAAAAGCTAAGGGTATCTAGTCCTGCTGCAGAACACTCTTAGACAGTAACTAATTTAAAGATGGTAGAGAAAAGAAAGGTACAACAGTGAAGAAGATTTTAGGCCAGGAAAACCTAGGGGCCAGCTCTACTCTGTTGAGTTAAGCATACCCAATGGCAATGATTGGCAATGATTTCAGGAAGGGATAGGGATATAGTGGAGTAGTGATTGGATTTCCTTTTGAATCCAAAAAACAAACCCATTGCCATCAAGTCATTCCAACTCATAGCAAGCCTATAGGACAGAGTAGAACTGCCAAAAAAGGGTTTCCAGTGCTTTAATCTTTATTAATCTTTACGGAAGCAGACTGCCACATCTTTTTCCTGCAAGCAGCTAATTGATAATCTTAAAATCAGCAGCCCAATGCTTAACCATTGTACTTCCAAGGCCCCTTGCCTTTAAATAGAGGTAATAATTCTCCTGGAGTATTGTCATAGCCACACATGGCTATTGAGCATTTAAGAAGAGCTAATCTATTAAGAAGAGCTAATCTATTACTGTAAGTATAATCAAGATTGAGTGATTGAGTAGGGGGAGAGTTCCTGCAACCTGGCAGACTAGGCAGAAGGACTGCACAGACCCTCTTCAACAAAGAAAAGAGAAACCAAGTAACACAGACACAGAAGATAATCCTGGACCCCTGTGCCTTGAAGGCCAGGATACAGAAGTAGAAGTGGACTACAGAAGTAGAAGTGGACTAAACCCCAACTTGAACAAGAATTTGTGTGAAAATACCAAAAAAGGAGACATGTGGAGCTGCAGTCTGGCAGCAATACTGAGTGACCCTAACAGCATGGATATTCCTGAGTGGTGGTAGGACCTAAGAATTAACCTAAAAATCACCCTGCTAGCCAGGGACTGACTGCACAGAGGACTGTGCACAGTGGCTGGGGAACAAATGGAGAAGGTGAAGAGAAAGGTGGGCTGAGCTGTGGACTTTTGCC